AGCTGTGGAGTAGCAGCTATTCCTCCCCTTCCTGAGTGGAAGAATTGAACTCTCAGTGCTGTGCAGGCTGCATTTCTCCAAGCTCTGAGCACTCCCTGCCATATCTGATCCTGCTTTTGCCTCTCCTAGCCCGACCCTTGGAACACCCACGTCTGGAAAGGGGTCAATGGGACACCCACCAAGAAGAGGGCCATTGGCTTTAAGAAGCTGGCTAAGTAAGTACCAGCCTTACTGGAAAAGCCTGGGATGTCTGGGGCTGGTCCTGGATTTAAGCACCCTATGGGTGTGTGCATCACCCTACAGATGATGGGCTCTGAGCCTGGGCCCACTTTGGGCCACTGAAGGCTTCACCTGCCACGAGGGACATTTGGGGACACAGGCAGGCCTTTGAACACCCCTTAGACCACCACAAGGGCTGTGCCAGGTGAATACCAGATCTTGGATATTGTTTGTTCTTCCAAGCTGTTCGTTCTCCAGTTAGGAGGTCTTAATGCTCAGGGATGGCTTTCCCACTTTTTGAGGGTGTTTTGCCTGTTTGTCCTTTCCTTGGGGGCAGGAAGATCCCCCCTCCCTTTTCAGGGCTGTGTTGGCTCTAACAAGATGAAACTCCTGTTCTTATTCCTCCTTTTCCCATGCACTTTTTCTCTCCGTGAGGAGAACCTGCTTTGGTGTGTGCCCAACCCTCCAAACACCTGCTTTGGAAGGAAGGGGGGAGATGGGAATGAGGAATCTCCCTGCAGGCAGCAGATGGATCAGGGCTGAGCTGAGATTTGCACTTCATGGTCAGTTGACCCCTGGCAAGGGGCCACCTCAGTCCCTGTTCCCTGCCAAGGCTCCTCAGCAGCAGGGATGCAGGAATGAAGCACAGTTTGGACCCTTTGCCTCATTCTGGTGCAAATTCCTCCCCTGTGGGCCATTGGCAGAGAGGAGCTGCTGGTTCTGTGGCAGCAGAGCCCTGGGCCAAGGCAGGAGAGGGCTGGGTGTGCCCTGGTGGCCGTGGCCAGGCTGCCAGGTGGCCCTGGCTCGTCACAGCATCTCCCCACGCTTCAGTTTCCCCGAATCCCTGCTATCAATTTGTTCCCACTCTTCAGCTGTCACCTCCTGCGAGCTGTTCTCCCTGGTGCATCCATAAACAGGATCAGCAGCTGAGGAATGTGCTCCTGCAGCTGACACTGAGGCTGGGGGAAGAGCAGGAGAAAAAATGCTTTTATAGCTGTGTGCCCCACTGAGGGATGGTTTTATAAAAATGTGAGCATGGCAGGTAATTTAAAACAAAATCTCCATTGTTCTTGATGTAGGGAAAGGAATTGTTTTTGTAATTCACCATTAATCCTGTCTGGATCTGAGCTTATCAGCTGTAGAAGAGGCAGCCTGAGCCCAGAGCCTTGAGCATGATTTGGTGCCTGCTCAGACTCAAAAATCTGGCCAAATCTGAGCCTTCAGAGCTCCAGTCTCTTCCCCGCCTGACCCCTCCCTGCCCTGGGGCCAGTGCAGGTCCTGGGACAGGGGACATTGCCACCACGGGATAGCAAAGGGCAGAACTGCACTGAGGGGGTGATACAGCAGCAAACAGAAATGTTCCTGGCGCTGACTCTGCCATGGAGAGGAGCTGCCAGGGGCAGGCAGGATAAACCAGCCTGGATGAGTTTCTACCTATTTTTTCCTCCCTAAATGATTCCCCAAAACCAGAGTATTTCTGAGGGGGGCAGGGGGAAGCTGGACTCCTCCTGTCCAGTGTGACCATTCCAGCTGCAGCCTCCGTTCCCCACAGCTCATCTGCAGGGGATGCAGGAGCCCTGCTGACCTCAAAAACCTGGGGCAAGGGCTGTCAAAGTGAATCAAGCAGCCCTTCCTCTTGCAGAGGCCACAGACTTGCTTTGTGCTCCCTCAGCCTCCCAAAAAATTACCTTTCCCTGTTGCAACATCCAGACCTGGTGGATTTCTGCCTTTCTGCTGGCCTCATTTAAAGGCTTGGTGGTCCACTTAGGAAAAAGGAAGATTGTTGGGCATGTAGGAAAAACGGTGTTGATGTGATTATGGATGTCCCTAAAACGACAAACCCACAGCCCCTGTCCCCCACCACGGCGTTCCCACTGATGGCACAGACGAGGAATCAGCATTCCTGGTGCTGCATCACCTCAGCCAGGATTGGAGAAACCCCAGGTGACCTCCCAGGGCTCCTCTGCCCTGAGCCAGTGGGGAAAACTGGAGGAGAAGCACCCAGTGACAGCTGCAGGCACAGCAAACAGCCAGCTGGGCACAGCCCTGGCAAGGCTCAGACAAATGTGCCACCCCTGGGCTCGGGAGGGCTGCTCCTCCCAGGGAGCTCTCAGTGTCACCAGAGTGCAGGTGACAGGTCTGGGGACAGCTCAGTGTGACCTTGGTGTCCCCTGCTCTGTGTGGGGCAGGGCTGCTCCTGCAGAACCAGGGTTGGAGGGGGCTGCTGTTCCTCCTGGAGCTCCAGCTCTGGTTGGTTCCAGCTTTTCCTTTGGCATTACCTGCTCCTGATTCTTCTCCTGCTTCTCTGGCCCTGCAGAAACACCACCCCCATGCTTGCTGTAGCATTTCCCTCTTTCAACCTATTCCAGTATTGGAGCTCTGTTCAAGCTCCCCCATCTCCTCTCCTTCTCTGATAAGTCGAGCTCTTCCAAGGCTTCCCTGTTTGCCATGTAACAACCAAAAAATTGATGCTACCTGGATCAATCGAACAGTTGATCAATTATGCATCAATATGATTCTACCTGGATCAGTGATCTAATTAACAGCTTTGTAAGGCTGTTCATTTCATAAGAAATAAAAAGGTCTGGGCTAGAGGCACGAGTAAGGACCAAGCTCTGACTGGGATTCATTCCTGCTTCCCAGGGCTGTGAAGTTCTCAGCCAAGCTGATGGGCCAAGCCATGGCCAAGAGGGTCAAGGCCACCATCCTGTATGCCACGGAGACAGGGAAGTCCCAGGTCTATGCAAAAACTCTGTGTGAGATCTTCAAACACGCCTTTGATGCCAAGGTATGGTCCCAGCTCCTGGCTCCTGACACGTGATGGGTGTGAAATCATGGGTGCTCCAAGGAAATACATGGACAACAGCTGCCAAGGGCCTTCAGGATGTCACCCTGTGGGTCTGGGCTGGATTTTTCCAGCTGATTTCCTGCAGCCATGGCAGTGTCTGTTTGTCTGTGGCAGCTCCAGGGCTGCCTGTGTCCCTCCAGGCTCCTGTTCCCATCCTGCCCATGCAGAGATGCCAGCAGGGATGTGCTGTTCCCATCCCCAGGGGCACTGGGGCCAGCCCAGGAGGCTCCCAGCTCTCTGTAACCTCTCTGTGCTCCCAGGTGATGTCCATGGACGAGTATGACATCGTGCACTTGGAGCATGAAACCATGGTCCTGGTGGTCACCAGCACCTTTGGCAACGGGGACCCCCCTGAGAACGGAGAGGTAGGACAGCAGGGAGGGGGGACAGCAGGGGACAGGGCCAGGAATGTCCTCTTTTGGCTCAGACTGAGCTGGAATGACCCCAAACAGCTCCAGGTGCTGTAGCTGGCTCCAGCCTGCTCTGGAGCAGGGATATCTCCTGATATCTCCCAGCCATGAGACAGCCACTGATCTGTTGTTACATTCGTCCTGTGTCACCAGCACCGGTGTCACCAGAAGGTGACAGTGCCCTGGCTTGGGGGCTGTGACCTGGACAGCTGGGAACAGCGAGCAGGGAGCACAGGCTGTGCTCAGGGCTTGGTTTCCTGCAAAACCTGGCAAAGCTGATGGCCTTTTTTATTCTTTTTCTGTAGAAATTTGGCTGTGCATTGATGGAGATGAAGAATCCCAACTCCAACCTGGAGGAGAGGAAGTAAGAGCACTCCAAGCCCTTCCCCTCCCACTCCAACCCTTTCCCCTCCCAATCCAAACTCTAGCATGCAGGACAGGTTTCCTGCCTCCATCCTTTCCCAAGGGAGTGGGAAATGCTCGGGCAGATCTCTCATTTGCAAATATCCAGGAATGGGACCTGCCTGGAGACCCAGGGAATGGCGACAGTGGAGTCCCAGAAAGGACAAAAGCACAGTCAGGGGTGCCTGTGGATCCCAGCTTGTAATTCCCTGGGATGACACTTTAAAGGTTCTTTCTTCATCTTGAAGAGGCAGGAATCTGTGAAAAAAAAAAAAAAAAAACCCAGATAAAAGTAGGAATTTCCCCAAAATCATCGATTCTGAGAGCCAGGGCCTGTCCAGGAGGCACCAAAATAGTAAAAGCTGGAGGTAGAAGGGAGTTCCCAGCCTTGCAGATGTAGGTGGGGGAGGGCTTGAGAACCAGATTTAGCTCTATGCATGGTGTGAAAAGATTTCTAGGGAAAATAAGAGCTGTGATAATCCTGTGATGTTTGTAACCGGTACCCTGGAGACAGAATCTGGGATTGTAGAAAATCCCCCTTCAGGGGAAAATGAGCTTTGAGCATCTCTGTGCAGACCCCAGGGGCTGGGAAAGGAGGGCAGTGAGAATAATCATTTGGGGTCTCCTCTTATTTTAGCTGTGAAGAATAAAACATTTCCCAGAACTGGGACACTGCTGTGCCCTGGAATGTCCCCTGAGCTAACAACTGGCACAAGGCTGCTCCTTAATTAAGGATGGAGCAGCCCTGGCCAGGGATCCAGGGCAGTTCCAGCCCCCTGGCTCGGGGCGGTGTCACTGGGGCTGTGGAGTGGTGACAATCTCGGCAGGGGCTGTGCAGAGCTGGCCCTGCTGCAGCCCCGAGGTGCTGTCCTTGCTGTGCAGCCAGGTCAGGATGGATCCCTGCAGGGCTGCCCAGCTGAAAACCCATCACGTTCCTAATGGGGACAGTGCCTTAATGGGGACAGTGACAAAGCAGGATGTGCAGGCTGCCCTGGAGGGCTGGGCATGGAGAGGGGACATTCCACACGTGGTTCTCACCCCAAGGATCTTCTCCTTGGCTGCTCAAGAGATTAAAAGCCCCTGAGCTCCGTTCTTGCTGTCCCGGACACCTCCAAGTGTAATTTAAGGAGTTTCTGAGAGCCAGGCAGGGACACCTCCCGCTGTCCCAGGCTGCTCCCAGCCCTGTCCAACCTGGCCTTGGACACTTCCAGGGATCCAGAAGCCACAGCTGCTCTGGGCCAGCTGTTTTTGGGATTGCCCCACCCAATATCCAGGACCTTGCTAACATCAAGCACACAAAAAACCTTTTGCAATGAGGAAAGGAGACCTGGAGGGGACTCTCAGGGGAAGAGGGACAGTGTCAGCCTGGCAAAAGAGAGCTGGAGAGAGCAGCTCCTGTCCATGCACCCCATGGACTCCCAGCTCCCTCAGGGGATGCTGAGATTCCTCAGGGCAGGGGGGCCTCTCTAAATCCCAGTGTCACAAGGTCCTGTCAGGGCTCTCTGCCCACAGCCCTGAGGCTGTGCTGGGGTGAATTTTTGGCTCCTCATCTCTTACAGCAAGAGTTTTCCAAGGGTTTTCCAAAGCCATTCTCAAGCCATTCCTATCCCAAGCCTGCTGTCCAAATGCATCCCATCCTTCAGCAGCCATCCCACACCACAAGGACCTTCTCATTGCAGCTGCTGCCCCAACATTGGGCCCAGCACCAACCTGGGGAATTCGGGCTTTGTGTCCATCTAATGCAGAGGGTTTTGCTGCCTTGAGCAGAGTCTGGGATTGCAGACAATTCCTCACACTGGGAGATGAGCTTTGAGCATCTCAGAGGCTGGAGAGGGAGGCCCCCTATCCTGGGCTAACCCAGGGTGAGGCCATGGCCAGGGCCAGCAGGGTGGGCTGGAGCAGGTGGAGAAGCAGAACAGTGAGGAGGTGTGGGGAGAGGGGAGGAGGAGGCTGAGGAGCAGAGGTGGCTCTGGGGCTCTGTGACCCGGCTGTCACTCGGCTCGGGGCTGTGCTCTCCGTGCTGTGCCGGCTGCAGGAGCTGTGCTGTGACTCATGCACACACCACTGCTCACTGCTCTGGCTGTAAATTTAGAAACTCTTGTGTGGAGCAATTTTGGGAGATGGTTCAATTCAGAAATACTTCTGCTGTTGTCAGATTTTTCCCCCTCCCCTCTGCTCCCCTTCCCCCTCCTGATCCCTTCTTCTCTCATTCCGTTTTTTTTTTTTAAATTTTTTATTTCCCACTTCCTATGAATGAAAAAACCCTCAGAATATCTCTTCAGACACACACACACACACATTGTGTGCTGCCAGGGAAGGACAGGTAAAGCCAAAGGTGCTGGCAGCTCTGCGTCACTGGGGACAATGTGGTGGCCAGCAGCTGGGTCAGCACAGTGACAAGGAGGTGACAAGGACCTCGTGGAGCATTCCTGCTGCAGCTGGGGGATGCAGAGGGGTTGCTATGGCTTCACCCCAGAGGGAGCACATTCCTCTGCTCTTCCCACAGTGCCAGCTCGTGGAATTGTGAGCCCTGAGCTCTGGTTTGGTGTCCCCACGGTTGTGTCCCCTCTGAGCACGGAGCCAGGTGAGGTGAGGTGACCCCGGTGTAACCCTGGATGCTGTCACTGTTCACAGGAGCTACAAGGTCCGGTTCAACAGTGTCTCCTCCTACTCGGACGCACGGAAATCCTCCAGCGATGGCCCCGACTCCAGGGACAACTTCGAGAGCACGGGGCCCCTGGCAAACGTCAGGTAAAGGGGACAGGGAGGGAGGGACAGAGCAGGAGCTGACAGACCCCAGCACTGCCCCTCACCCTGAGGTATTTTGGGATGTGCAGACCCCTCCAGGCTGCTGTGGGAGGTGGTGGGACAGGAGGGGATGTGCCAGTGTCCCTTTCAACTGAGCCTTTGTCTTGGTTTGAAAGACAGGTGTCTGCCAAGAAAGGCAGGAGCCTCTTTTAAAAATGGAGAATGTAAACCCCCTCCCTCCAAATTATTGTAATTTTGAAATTAAGGTGCTGTCAGGCAAAGATATGGGAATAGGAATAACAGTTCTTTACTAGGAAAATTAAAATAGAAATACAGTATTACAGAGAACAAACCCAAAAAACCCAAACCCTAAACACAGCCAGAGTGAGAATCCAAGGTGCCCCCGTCAGTCAGTCAGGGTTGGTGCAGTCCCATTCCATGGTGGCTGCATCCTCCTGCAGTGACAGATGTGGTTCTGCTGGAGCAGGGCTCCTGCACAAGGTGCAGTTTTCCTCCAAAGCTGCAGGGATGATGTGCAAGGCTCTGGTTTTCCTCTGGGATCCAGTGGGAAAAGGCTGCTCTGCTGTTCCAAATCTCACCTTTGATCTGGGTAGGAAATGCTCGGCTCCTGCCCTGGCTGGAGCATCTCCCAATGGGATGATGGAATTTGATCAGCCCTGCCCTGGGACTGCATGGCCATGAACAGGAGAGATCTCCTGGAGGCAGGATGGGTTGTGGGCAAGATAAAGAACACTGCAACAGCTGGGTTAACAGCTGGACCATTAACAGAGGATATCTCCTATGGAGATCAGGGTCACTGCCACACCTGGTTTAACAGATGGTGACAGAATCCATACTTTTGGTCACATCCTGTATTGCAACTTGTGTCTGCCACCTTCCCACAGGTTCTCCGTGTTCGGGCTGGGCTCCCGGGCTTATCCCCATTTCTGCGCCTTCGCCCGCGCCGTGGACACGCTGCTGGAGGAGCTGGGGGGAGAGAGGATCCTCCGCATGGGAGAGGGGGATGAGCTCTGTGGCCAGGAGGAATCCTTCAGGACCTGGGCCAAGAAGGTCTTCAAGGTAACCTGGGGCTGCAGGGAGGAGCAGAGGGGACAAGGACAGAGGTCAGAGCTGGATCTGAGCCCAGCCTCCCCTTCCCAGCACTGGGACATTCCAGCACTATCCCAGCCCACCATAAAGAGGGTGGAGCTGATTCTGTGGCTTTGGCTGACCACCAAAAAGTCACCAATGTGTTGAATTCCTGCATCATCCCAGATATCTGGGAAGAAGAGCACCACGAGCCGTGCCTGTGGCTACCCCTGCACTGTTGGGGGCTCCTTCTCCATGTGGATTGGGATGAGGGGCTCAGTGGGGTCAGGGAGGTGCCTGGGTTGGGATGAGGGGCTCAGTGGGGTCGGGGAGATGCCTGGGTTGGAATGAGGGGGCTCAGTGGGATCAGGGAGGTGCCTAGGTTGGAATCAGGGGCTCAGTGGGGTCAGGGAGGTGCCTAGGTTGGAATCAGGGGCTCAGTGGGGTCAGGGAGATGCCTGGGTTGGGATGAGGGGTGTCAGTGGGATCAGGGAGGTGCCTGGGTTGGGATGAGGGGGCTCAGTGGGGTCAGGGAGATGCCTAGGTTGGAATCAGGGGCTCAGTGGGATCAGGGAGGTGCCTGGGTTGGGATGAGGGGGCTCAGTGGGGTCAGGGAGATGCCTGGGTTGGGATGAGGGGTGTCAGTGGGATCAGGGAGGTGCCTGGGTTGGGATGAGGGCCTCAGTGGGGTCAGGGAGGTGCCTAGGTTGGAATCAGGGGCTCAGTGGGGTCAGGGAGGTGCCTGGGTTGGGATGAGGGGCTCAGTGGGGTCAGGGAGGTGCCTGAGGGCCTGGTGTGTGCTGCAGGCAGCTTGTGACGTGTTCTGCGTGGGGGATGATGTCAACATCGAGAAAGCCAACAACTCCCTGATCAGCAACGACCGCAGCTGGAAGAGGAGCAAATTCCGCCTGACCTACGTGGCCGAGGCCCCGGAGCTCACACAAGGTACAGATGGGCTCCCCTGGAGGGCTCTGGCTCTGGGACAGATGGAGAACACACAGGGGCAAAGGGGCCAACCCCCTTTTTTTGTCTCTGTTAAGTTCCCAGAATTCCAGCCCTGCCTTTCCCCCCCATCCCGTGTCCAAGGAGCTGCCTGTGACAGTCCCAGGCCCCTCTGGCCAGTCCCTGTCTGTGTCTGTAACAGAGATGTTTGGACATGATCTGCTCTCCCTCCTCCTGACCCCGTTTTTTGAAGCGAGGAGCTGGGAAATTGGGATCTTTCCAAGTTTATTTTGCCCAGTGCTGCTCCACCGAGCGCTGCGGAGCGAAGGCAGGTGCAGCCCACGGACACCTGGCCCCTCAGCACGGCTCCTGCAGCCCAGGATCTGCCACACGGGCTCAGCTCTTCCCAAAGCTTCCCAAAATCTCCTGCCAGCCAGGTGGCACTGGCAGAGAGAGGAGCCTGTGGGCAGTGCGAGGGCACAGCCCTGAGTCTCATGGGGTGCTTTTGGAGTCCTCCTCTGTCACCAAAAACACGAGCTTGGGTCACCCCTGGGGTTTGTGATCCCTTGGGCTTGCGGGAGGGACACAAACCCCTGTGGTCAGCTCTGCTCTGAAGGGCTGAACCCACAATGACCCTACAAAAGCCAGAAGTCCTTGGCCATGCTCTGCTGAATCCTTTCCCTGCCTCTTTTCCTGCTCAGGACTGTACAGCATCCACAAAAAACGCGTCTATGCAGCCCGGCTCCTCTCACGCCAGAACCTGCAGAGCCCCAAGTCCAGGTAAGAGATGCTGCTGTCCTGGGAACTGAGTGCACACCTGGGGCACCCAAACCAGTGCCACAAACAGCCCCTGGGCCCGTGGAACCCACCTTTGGGCAAACCATGAGTAAGATTGGAGCGGGGGCTTTGCACCACTTAATTAGTGGCTTGTCATCAGTCTCGTCTGATTGCCCTCAGAGCCAGGATTAACAAAAACACAATTGAAACAGTTTTTCTCGTGTTCAGGCTTGAATGTTTATTATGTCTTATCAGAAAGTACAGAGAGTACTGCAGCACTTCCAGCTACCTGCTAGAAGTGAGGAAAAATGGCAGAGAATGCAGCTGCTACAAGGTTTTTTAAGGCTAAATAGTCCAATAGAGAATTAACACCGGTATTATTTATATTTTTGAACCAATAACTAAATTCCCATGACCCTTAGAGTGACACTGACTGTCCAACCAGAAACTACTGTCTGAAACCATGAAGAAGAAGGAAGAAAAAGATGAACAAAGAAAGAGACAACGCCCAAAATCCACTATATACTTTACACTATATATATATACTATGCACTATGTACTATATACTATATACTATAGACACATATATACTGTATATACTTTATACTATACTATAAAAACCTCAAATTTTCACCCTGTGGAAGCACACACTTCTAATTCACTACACACTCGTGATTTCTACTCCATCACTCGTATTTAGAAGCAGTCTCCAAGGTCTCAGGTCAAAAGCAGTGTTTTCCAAGGGGTCTGTGCCTGAAAGCACAGAAAGCTCAAAATCTCCAGGTTTTTTGGATCCCACAGACTGGAAGCCAGTGGAGGGTGTTCCTGACCTCCATGCACAGTGAAATTCCTGCTGCTGCCTCCCTCAGCCCACAGGATAGGGAGCTGGCTGGAGTGGCCACAAAGGGAGGACAGAATTGCTGAGTTAAATTGGTTTTCCCCTTTTAAAGAAAAGTCCCTGGGGGTGAGTCAGGGTGTGCTGCAGTGTCCCTTCTTCCTGCTGTGAGTTTGGGCGTGCCACCAGCACTGCAGCAGCTCCTGAGGCCAGGGCTCTGTGACTCCCTGAAGGATCCCCCAAAACACTTTTTCCTGCTTTTCCTCCTTCCCCCGCAGCCGCCTGACGATTTTCCTGCGCCTGCACACCAACGGGCACCAGGGGCTGCAGTACCTGCCCGGGGACCACCTGGGTGTGTTCCCAGGGAACCACGAGGACTTGGTCAATGCCCTCATAGACAGGCTTGAGGATGCCCCTCCGACCAACCAGGTGGTGAAGGTGGAGCTGCTGGAGGAGAGGAACACGGCTCTAGGTAACCAGGGACTACAGGTGGCCTCTCTCCTGCAGTTCCTCAGGGAAGTGGGTGGCCCCCAGGAAAATTATTTTCATGTCCCTGCTGTGTTTGCCTGGACTGGGAGCAGCTCCTTCATCCCTGCTCTGCCCAGAGCCATTGCTTGTCTGTACTCGGGATATGGAGCAAGGGTTGGAAGGGTGATATAGGGAAGATATTTCCTTATTCCATGGAAAAATTAAAAGTGTTACGTTCCCTTAGAAAGGGCAATGTCTAGGACTGGGAAGAAGAATTAAGGGATCTTGAGGGGCCATCCCAACACCATATTTTAGGAATAAGTCTGATTCCCTACTGCCATGCACGGTGTAGCTGGAGATGGAAAACCCGAATCCAGTGTCTCAGAGGGGGATGAAAACCAGGATTTGCCCACCTTGGCCCTGCTGCTCAGCTGATCCCAGGCTTGTGCTGGATTGCCTCCTGGCAGGTGTCATCAGTAACTGGACAGACGAGAACCGTGTCCCACCCTGCACCATCTTCCAGGCCTTCAAGTACTACCTGGACATCACCACCCCTCCCACCCCGCTGCTGCTGCAGCAGTTTGCCCTGCTGGCCACCAGTGACAAGGAGAAGAAACGTCTGCAGGTCCTTAGCAAGGTACAGAGCCCAGGCCCCAGGTTCTGCAAGGCCCTGGGGACAGTCACAGCCCAGCCAGGGCATTTCCATCCCTCACTGTGCCTAGGCTGAGCAGGGCTCAGGGCGCCTTCACTGCCACCCACTCCAGCTTTGCCATGCACCTGCTGGCATGTCCCTCGAGACACCTGGAAAAGGTGGATCCTGCAGCTCTCTCCTCCCTCCCCCTTTCCCAGGGCTTGCAGGAGTACGAGGAGTGGAAGTGGTCCAAGAACCCCACGATCGTGGAGGTGCTGGAGGAGTTCCCCTCGGTGCAGATGCCCTGCACGCTGCTGCTCACCCAGCTGCCCCTCCTGCAGCCTCGCTACTACTCCATCAGCTCGTCCCCAGAGATGTACCCAGGGGAGGTGCACCTCACCGTGGCTGTGGTGTCCTACCGCACCCGAGGTACTGCTCCAGGACTGGGGCTCCGGGAAAAGGCAGCAGGACAGGGGTGGCCCCACCAAATCTCTGCCTGGGAGATGCTCCTTTAAAGCCTTTCTGCTGTTGTCTGGAAAGGCTGAGCTGGAACAGAGACCAAGCAGAGCAAAAGGGATAAAATAGGTATTTATTGAAAGGATGGACTTTGGGCAGTGCCAGGCTACACCCAGATCAAATCCAAGATGGATCCTGGTCATGAGGTTTTACACTTTTATAAATTTTGGTTCATCTTGGGGTCAATTATCCAACCACAGCCCCAGGCTATGAAGTACCTGCCCCCTGGCTTGTCCCTTTCCCTCTCTATTGTTCCTGATTTGTCCTTGATTCTCTAGCTAGAAAGGAATTGTTTTGTCCAACCACCCTGTGAAGAGACCTTACTAACATCTAATATGAATTTTCAGTGTTACACACCAAGCAGCAGAGAATTTGAGAAATATAAAAGCTAAAACCCAAGGCATCACTGCCTGCTGCAAGAGTAGATTCCCCCAAACACAGCACTGCTGTCCCATGTCATGGAGAGTGGCAGTGACACAGAGATGGCACTTCTGGGACAGTTATTATTTCTGTATATATTTATATATATATATAAAAGTATATTATGTATATAATACATAGTTATAATAGTTACATTATGTATATAATACATAATCCAGACTCTGTGTAGGATTCTGTTTGCCCACCCCCAAATCCACATTCCCAGTAGCCAAACTTCTGCAGCAGTGCAAGCATTGGTGTGTCCAAGCATGGTCGTGGTGTGGATGGACACAGCCCTGGCACTCTGCAGGGCACAGGGAGGACCCTGGAGCTGCCATGGAGGGTTTGTGTCTGGGGGCATCACGATGCTGCTCCTGCCAAAAGGGTCCAAAGGACAGCTGGGTGCTCCCTAAGGATTGGGGAGCTCCAGCTATGCCAGGTCTGAGTCCTGGGGAGCTCCACAGAGGGATCCAAGTGCCAAACTCTGCCAAGTTCATGGGGAATGGATGCTGAGGGATGAAATGTGTCAGGGCGTGTTCAGGCAGGATGCAGAAGGGAGAGTTTTAGAAAGGAAACAGTTGTAGGGTGATGTCCAGACCTCCTTCCTTGCCTCCTCCCTTCCCAGATGGAGAGGGACCCATCCACCACGGAGTCTGCTCCTCGTGGCTCAGCCGCATCCAGACGGATGAAGTGGTGCCCTGCTTTGTGCGAGGGTGAGTGACCCACACACGGCCAGGGCTGAGACCCCTCACAGCATGAGCTCTGTGCCCTCCATTGTCATCACAGTGGCAGAAAACAGGGCTGGCTTTGTGAACAAATGGTTCCCCTTGGAGAGAAATTCTGGGATTTTACCTCATGTCCTACCCCTCCCTGTCCCCGAGGTGCCTGAGCCGGCTGCGGGCAGGGGGAGGGAGGGAGCAGGGGGCACCGTGCTTGTGTTTAAGCGGATCTCTGGTGTGTGCAGCGCCCCCGGCTTCCACCTGCCCCAGGACCCGCAGGTGCCCTGCATCCTCATCGGCCCCGGCACCGGCATCGCCCCTTTCCGCAGCTTCTGGCAGCAGCGGCTCTTCGACATCCAGCACAAAGGTGGGGCCCTCTTCCTACTCCTCCTCCTCTTCTTCTTCTTCTTCTTCCTCCTCTTCCTCCTCTTCCTCCTCTTCCTCACCTCACACAGATTTGGGTGGGGCCGTCCTGTTGCTCACCTCACACAGATTTTGGGATCCCTGTGTTGAGGGTGCAGGGATGGGGTCCCGTCGTGCCAGGGGTGTCCCTGTAGATCTGCTGCGGTCCGGGGGAGGTGTCTGGCGGCCATTGGTGGCCCCGGGCTGACTGGTGTCGCCGTGCTGTCCCCAGGGCTGAAGCCGTGCCCCATGGTGCTGGTGTTTGGCTGCCGGCAGTCCAGGATCGACCACATCTACAAGGAGGAGACGCTCTTTGCCAAAAGCCAGGGAGTGTTCAGAGAGCTGTACACGGCCTATTCCCGGGAACCCGACAAACCAAAGGTGGGCACGGCCCCGGGAGTGCCAGCCTGCCCTGGGTGCCCATGGGGGCCAGCAAGGCTGGGCACGCTGGGTCTTTGGCCAGTGGTCACTCATCCCTGGGCACGTAAATAAATGGGCAGGGTTGTCCCTTCCCAGTGGCCACCAGTTCCCAGGGTGTGTCCCCATCCTAGTGCCAGTGGGGAGGAAAGGAAAGGAAAGGAAAGGAAAGGAAAGGAAAGGAAAGGAAAGGAAAGGAAAGGAAAGGAAAGGAAAGGAAAGGAATTTCAATTCTAAGATTAAAAAAATTAATTCTTTTT